AAAGAAATATTTAAGAGTTTATGAAATGGCAGATATGACATTGCCTGACCCATCTCCAGCACCATATTATTATGACTATAGTGCTGACGACAAAACACCACATGTAGACCCAAAAAAGCAAACATTATATTTAGAATATTATAGATATAAAAGATATAATGCAATAGAAAAAACGAGAATAGTATACTATTATGAAGTTGACAGAAATAAATATTATAGTCAAGATTTTACCTACCCTGAAAACATAAGATTATATTATAAAAAATATTCTGACACAAACCAGAAGAAACCTGAAATAGTTGCACTATATTTTAAGTTCAAAAGAGACAATCCTATAATATCTCATATGTTTGATTTAATGAACCCAGTAGGTTCTATTTATACATCTATGGAAGCAAGAGGTCCTCAAGTAATGTTTGGTTTTGGAACTTGGACTCAAATAGTCGACAGGTTTTTGTATTGTGCAAACTCTTCAAAGGAAACAGGTGGAAGTAAAACGATTTCAGGTGAAAACTTACCTGCACACAGTCACTACATAGATTTAAGTACATCTCAAGCAGGTTGGCATAAGCATAGATATTGGGATTGGTCATCAATGACAAAAGGTAAAGGATATGATGTTAAAAACAACGTTAAGTTTGCTATAGATTGTTACTGGAGTAACACTGAGGGAGGAGGAAACCATATACATCGCGTTTCAGGGTATACGCAAACAACGGGACAAAGTAAAGACTACATGCCACCTTACATGACAGTTTACGCATGGTATAGAAATGCTTAGTCGTCATTTTCAACTTCTTTAGCATATTCGTCAGGAGTTGTCTTATATTTGTTAGGAACTGTCTTTGAAAGTATACCACCTTGAACTTTGACAAGTTTGAAACGAGGTCTGACAATAGTAGTTTTATCTTCTGCTTGCAGTCTGTACATTTTGCCATGTTTGCCTAAAACTTCATAATATTCTCTTGTATACTTTCTTCTATTTTTACGAACACGAATGTGAGTACCTGTCGAGTTCCCATTGTTGTCATAGTCAATAGTATTTTCATATGGGTCGCGTTTAGGTATTTCTATTTTTACTTTGTCACCTTTCTGAAGTTTGAAGCCTGGCATTCTTTCTTGTTTGTCTCTTTTGACTAAACTATTAAATATATAGTCTTTCTCTAAGTCGGGGTTGTTTTTCATTTCTTCGGGGGAGTGGTTTCCCAAACCTTTTTGTTTACGGCTATTGTAAATATTTAAAACTTGTCTCATCTTTGCCATGGAGAAGTGTCTATATTTGTCGTCATATGACATTTCATTTGCTTCACCACCTTGTGGTTGGTTTAAGTCTCTTAAGATTTTTATACAACTGTCAATGACACCAAGAGCAGAATGGTTTTGGTCGACAATGAAATATTGGTTTACATTTTTTGAACGCAGATAGTTTTTAATATCGTCTGATTTGAAAGAACTTTCATAGTCAGATGTCAGTTTTGTTGGATGGTATTTGTCAACGAATATTGTCAAAGCAGTTTTCACATCTAAAATATTTTTGGACTGTAATGGTATGGCTTCACAGTATCTTGTGTTTTGACCAACAAATATTAGCCAGTATGGTGGTCCATCTTCTCTATACCTCGGAATGTTTTCCAAGATATCCATAAACCAAGCATTTGGTGTTGAACTAAAGATTTTTACCATGAGTGCTTTCTTTGTCGCTTTAGAAACATACGGGTCCTTGTTTGAATTCGTCATTTTTAACCCATAAGAAATGGGTTTATTTGGCGCATTAGCAGGAGTCGCATCTAGATTTTTACCCGCAGTGGGAACAATAGCCAGAGGTGTATTTGGAGTTGGAAGGAAGATTTTGAGTACATTAGGTATACTTAAAGAGAAAGCACAACCTATTATACAAACTGTACAGAAAGGTTGGGAGGTAGCACGAGATGCAGCAAATCTTATTCCAAATCCTGAAACAAGAGGAAAAGTTCAAGGATGGATGGACAATGTAGGAAGACAAGCAGGAAACTACTATAACAAAGCAAATGACTACTATAACCAAGCAGGGCACTATATGGACCAAGGTGAAAGATTCTTTAACAGAGGATATAACCATGCACAACAGTGGGTAAACAACAACCAACCTCAACCGCCTCAAACGTGGGGAATGTAAAATTTTTTACTGAGATGAAATGAACAATACAGCATTGAGACAAATGGGTTCAAGATGGATTTGTCGGCTTTCAGCAGTTACACAACCACGTGTTTGTCAAGTTCTTCCTATACCTCAGGAAGTTTTAGACCGACTTAAAAAACCTCAACAACCAGTTGAAAACAAACCAAACTAAAATTTTTTACTGAGATGAAATGACCGAAGAAGTTGAAACGGTAGATTTGACACCACAAACAAAAAGTTCAGAACCATTGTCAAAACCTGTCAAAGAACTTACAGATGAAGAGAAAAATTCAATAATAGAAAGTGTGAGGTCTGGAAATACAAACCCTAACTACAAAGTCACTTTTCATAAAAATGGAACGGCTAGTATCTCAAAAAAGAAACAGACTCTCACAAATAAAATATTGAAGTCTGAAGGAACTAAAGAGACAACAGATGGAAAAGTTTACTTCACTGACCAACAGTTCATTATAGAACATCTCATTGACTTAGAGTCGAAATATTCTAAACTTTACAACAAACACAAAAAGTTGAAAGGAAAACAAAAACAAATGGCATATGACATTTATGAAGATGTTGACGACACAACTGTTCCAGCAAGTGAGGTAAAGTCAGATGAACCGAAAAGTGACGAAAAACCAATAGAAGAAGAAAAACCAAAAACTGAAGATAAACCAAAACCAAAGTTTAGTTTCCAAACTAAACCAAGTCAACCTTCATTAGCTGGTATGGGTTGGCGTCAAAGACTTATGGTAGCGGGCGGTTATGTTAAGTAAAGAAAAAAATATTTTTTTATTTTATTTGAAATGTACGCTGAGTTTGTTGGAGAAGACCGTTGGGAAACTTGTTTGTTAGATGAGAAATATGAAATGGCATACCATTTAAAACAAAATATTTTTAAAAAAATATTTTTTTATTTTATTTGAAATGTACGCTGAGTTTGTTGGAGAAGACCGTTGGGAAACTTGTTTGTTAGATGAGAAATATGAAATTCACTGTTGTGAGTCATTTGAAGTCAGAAACAAAAAGACAAAAAGAGTTTTAAGCGGATGGGAGCGAAATGACGGATATGCTATTATGAAGATGAGTGGAAAAAACTATTTTAAACATGTTGTCATTGCAACTCATTTTATACCGAACCCTAACAATTTACCTTTTGTAGACCATATAAACCATATAAGAAACGACAATAGACTTGAAAACTTGCGTTGGGTCACTTGTTCTGAAAACAATAAGAACATAGGCAAATTTGGAGATATTGTATTCGAATTTGTCGACGAACTAGAAGATGAAACAATTGAAATTACAGACTATGGTAAGCATACGTTTGAGTTTTACTACTATAGCGAAGAACAAGACTCTTTCTACTTTTATACCGGCGTAAACTATAGGAAATTACAAGTATATTTTACTAAGGCAGGCTATGCTTATGTAAACACTAGAGATACAGATGGAAAAAACGTTCAAATACTTCTTAACAAATTCAAGAAGCTATATGGCATACCATTTTAAAACAGTATATTTTTTTATTTTTATAAAAATGCCCCCATATAGAATGGATAGAAAATCTGCTAGAATAAAAGCAGAGTTAGAAAGATATGGTTGGGGAGTTTCAAAGAAGTTTAAATATAGGAAGGGAAGACCCATAAAAGTCTATGACAAACTGTCTGGTCTTCGCTACGAAATGGACTTAGAAACAGCACGCGCAAATTATCCAAACAGATTAGAGAGGTTAGAAGAAGAACGTCTTATGGACATGCCTTTCGATGTTAATGAACCTCAAGTTGAAGGACACGACGGCTTTGCCAGGTTCTACTGGAAACATGACGAACAATTGCATCCTTTGAGAAGGAAAAAAGGAAAAGGTGAAGACACACATGCTCCCATGGAAAGAACAAGATATGCATATGAAAAGTATCGTGAAGTTAGAAGTAAAATTACATCTGGTCGAACCTTTACAGTAAACTTTGACAAAGGAAAGAACAAAGAAGGCTTCATGGGTGTACTTGCTGCCATACAAGACGGAAATAAGAAAGGATACAATCTCAGACTAACCGTAAAAGATTTGGATGGTCATATTTACTATGCACATGGCAATGTCACAACAGCCGCACAACTTCTTGACGCTTTCAAGACTACAAAGAGAGAACAAATGTTTGACTCCGACTCAGATATTTTGAATGCAATTGAAGGAATTGCAAGCGTGAAGTTCGAATGGTTACAACCTAACCCTCAAGCAGTCAGACAACATGCTGGATACTTCCCCTTCAGAAATAAGTCTGACATTGACTTAACAAGGTATGGAATTTACAATTCAATTGAAAAAATTGTCAATGAACCTTGCATTCTTACATGTCTCAGGAACTCTGGTCTTGTTACAGATGAGAAGATGAAGTATCTTGAGTCATGTGTGAAAACAAGGTACATTCTCAGAAGTCAATTGACAAAGATTGCACCGTTGGCAAATGTCAATATCCGCGTCAACATACCTACAGCTAAAGGTTCTTCACATGACGACTATGTTGTTGACTTCAAATTGCCATGGTTGAAGATTGTACTTGTCCACAACCACTTCATGTTGAACGAAAGTCTTACAAACCCATTGTTCGGAAAAGGCAAGTGCAACATTGTCAGAGCTGTTAACATTCTTTTCGAGAAAGGCTTGTTGGAACCAATTCCAGATGACAAGCTGACAGAAACTTTTGTACCAAAAGACGAAACAAACTTTTCATTGTTAGCAAGACCAAAAGTTGTTCCAGACAAAGTTATAGCACAAAAGAAGTACACAGTTCCAAAAGGAGTTGGATTGTTCGGATACCAACCTGAACCAGAAGAACTTCCAATGAGGTTGCAAGAACTTCAAGATGCTATAAACAAACTTCCATTGAGACATCCAGTCGACGTCAAATTGTATTGGAGAGCATCAGAGTTAGGTCAGAAGGTTTTATATGAAACAGGTTGCTTTGACGATGTTTATGAGATAACAGGAGAAGTTTCTCAAAAGATAAGAGACTCACTTGAATTTCCACGAACTGGACCCATTGGTTGCGACAAGTTCGACTCATATGAAAAGATATACTATGTCGACCTTAACGCTGCGTACATGAGGTTTGTCCAATATATCCCGACTGGAATTCCAAACGAAGATGGTGAGTTCCCGGGAAAGAACTATACAGTTGGAAAAGTCATACAACAAATGTATGATATTAGGAAAGCTTCAAACCCCAAACTTGCAATGACACTCAAATTGCTTATGAATTCGACATGGGGATATTCCATTAAGAAACCTCAAAAGATGAAGAGTAAACACTATGAGAAGGTCGACAACTTTGTTGAAAGGTTTTCTCCTTTTGTTTTGAAATACGAGTTCACCGAAGGTCAAAATGGCTTAGTAACCACAGTAAAACCTATTGTCGAACATTGGTCCTACCCTCAGTTCGCAAAGGCAGTCCTCGACAACTACAACAAATTCTTCTCGGAAGTTAAATCCAAAGTGAAGGTATACTATGAGAACATCGATGCACTCATGACGAACGAAGAAGGATACAACAAACTCATTGAAATGGGAATGGTCGGTGAAAAGATGGGCTTTTTTAAGCTAGACAAGGTATTTTCCGAAGTTCATGTCCTCTCCAAACGTAAGTACTGGGGAATACTTGAAGACGGCACAGAAATAAAACATTGCATGAAGTAAAACATTGCATACCATTTTAAAACGTTTTTAAAACAGTATATTTTTACATATATAAAATGCTTCAGGTTGAAAAACAAAGAACAAAAGTAGCAGATACAAAACCGTTAGACTATATCTTTACAAACGCTGGTAGGACTATATCAGATGAAGAAATTTCATCCGGAGCTTACAGGTTTGACTATCCAATTCGTTGGCTTCAAAGTCCTTCAGATGCAAAGGCAATAGGATTTAGAAGAGTTTTGTTTTCAAATAGAACTAATGCATTCATGTTCGCAGTATATTTTCACGGTCAGTATAAAGGCTCTGATGGTCTAATAGAAAAATTTGATGAAATGAAAATCTTTACAATTCGTTCAGACGAAAGTCTTGAAAAAACTCTAAATGACTTTCAAACTCAAATGAACAAATACTACTGGGAATTTCAAGAAAAATACCACTCTTTACTAAATGGAACATACTATCTGAAGCTAGAATACGACAAGATGAACTCCACAGTTTCATTTCAAAAGATTGAAATTAACCCTCCAAGAGATACAGAGTTTTTATTTTGGGGAGTAGACAAACGTTCTTGGGCACAATTTCTTCGGTTACTAAACCAGAACGAACCATTACCACCAGATGGTCCATTTAAATTTATACTTCCACCAGCAGATTTGACAGTTTATAGAAACGTGTTTGACCCTCAAAATGTCATGTGTCATGCAAGTTTCAGTTCAAGCAACAACAGTTTTCTATGTATCGGTAAGGACTTTTATGACTTTGCTTCTAAATTCTACGAACCACCTAGTAACAGTTTCTCTGACTTTCAAGTTTGGTTCACAACAAATGGCGTGCAACATATTTTACCATTGTACTATGACTTTTATCTCGAATTGTCTTTCATATACAACTACGGAAAAGTGCTGAAAAAGTATTGAAAAATATATTTTAGGTGAAGAGGTGAGATCTCACCTGTTTTCTCACCTCTTTTCTCACCCTCTTGAATTTTGTATAAAAAGCAACCGCCGGAAAACAGCGGGTTGGTTTTTTTAAAAAAATATTTTTTATTTTTATTGTAAGAACTGAAATGACAGTCGAAGCAAAAACGTTCACGAACAAATCTAATGGCGAAACATTCACAAAAGGCACTTACAACGGTATTGAAGTCTTACGTAGAGACAAGGATGGTTATATAAATGCAACAAAGATATGTCAGCAGTTTAGGAAAGACTTTAGAAAGTTGTTGGAAAATAAGTCCTGGGAAGAGTATTTTAAGGCATTTTGTGAAGAATATACCACCCGCCGGAATTCCGGCGGGTGCTTTTTATACAATGTTAATGCAGGAATTCCCGATGAAATCAAACAGGTTAGAGGAACGTATGTAGACCCAAGACTTACAAACTATATAGCAATGTGGGCTTCTCCAAAATATTGCATAGCAGTTGGAAAAATTCTGGACTCCATAGACAAGAAAGTTCATGAGAAATTAGATGAAGAAGAACTTGAAGATACAGCAGAGAATGCTAAACCTTTGTTCGAAGAAGAAGTTAGAAAAACGTGTTTAAAACAAATAGAACATGAACATGAGATATGTTCTGGTTATAGAGATTCTCCATACGAACTAGACCAATGGGAACAAGAAGATTTAAAGAGAGAATTTAGAGAATATGAACTCGCTAAAGTTTCATTAGAAGCTGCAGAAGAGAGGTTAAAAGTTTGGGGTCTTTTTGTACAAAAATATTGTGAGTAAATGAACCATTTTTTCTATCATCGTAGAAAACACACAAAACTCTTGAATTTTGTATAAAAAAAGCAACCGCCGGAATTCCGGCGGGTGGTATATTCTTCACAAAATGCTTGTTTTGTTGAGACTTCATCGTCAATGTTTTGTATAAAAAGCACCCGCCGGAATCCCGCGGGTTGGTATATTCTTCACGAAATGCTTGTTTTGTTGAGACTTCATCGTCAATGTTTTGTATAAAAAGCACCCGCCGGAATTCCGGCGGGTGGTATATTCTTCACGAAATGCTTGTTTTGAGGTCGAGCCATTTTTGGCTCCACCGTATTCTTTCAACCAAAACTCTTGAATTCGGCAAAAATATATTTTAGGTGGAACCAGGTCCCTCGGTCCCTCGGTCCCTCGGTCAACTAACATCTTTTTGAAAATGGTGACAACATGACATTTTGACAACAACACAGGAAATAGACTTCATCGTATATGTTTTGTCATGAACTTTCTTGTCTATGTTTTGTCATGACTTCTTCATCGTATTCTTTCACCCGTTGAATTTTGTATAAAAAAGCAACCGCCGGAATCCCGCGGGTTGGTATATTCTTCACGAAATGCTTGTTTTGAGGTCGAGCCACTTTTGGCTCCACCTGTTTTTTCAACCAAAGCTCATTTTTTTCGGCAAAAATATATTTTAGGTGAAGTGGTGAGATCTCACCTCTTTTTTCACCTCTTTTCTCACCCGTTGAATTTTCATGAATTTTCCCGAAATAAAAAAAGTTAGTTTTTTTAAAAAAATATTTTTTATTTTTATTGTAAGAACATGTTAGCAACAACTTCACCAAACTCGTTAGTCATGAACCCAACTTCAATGTTAGTAGAGATGAAAAGCTTCATTCCTTCTTCATATACTTTCGAAACAGAAATCCAGAAGATAAAGCAAGAACTTCTCCAAGGAGATTTATACTGTAGTGCGAAAGATGAAACAAATGAAGAATATCTTTATGAAATGCAGGATATTATTGACCATCTACCTAAACTTCCTGAAATACAACAACAAAAGCTTACTATTCCAGAATTCGATGAAATAGAAGTCAAAGCAACTGACTCAGTAGAAACCAAGAAGTTCATACGTAAGGTAAACTATGAGTTTCTTGGATTTCATTGCAACCACAAAGTCATGGACAAAGATTGCGATATGTTATATAAGAACATCTCTGACATATACAAATCTGAAGAATTTAAGACCTACGACAACTTTGTTTCGTTAGTTGCAAAATGTGTATGGCAGATAAGAGATAAAGATAAAAGAGGTAAAGTATGGAACGAACAGATAAAACCAGCAACTTTTGAGTTAAAGAAAACCATTGACGCCTTAGTTGTTTTAGCAGGTCAAATTTCAATGTACAATGCTAAAATGAACCCACAATGTTCAAAATGTAAAGCAGCAATGAGGAAATATAACTACTCCGTCAAAGAGATAGAAAGAATGCGAAACGACTATGCAGATTTAAAGAAAGAAGCAGAGAAACCAGCAGAAGATAAAATGGACATGTTGACATTTCTAAACAAAAACTATCCAACAGCTGACGATTTCCTTCTATCTGATGTCAAGAAGAAATATAAAGAAACATTCGGCATTGTGAAAACTTTTGACATACTGACAGAAGAAATAGAAGCTACAAAACTGTTTAGGATTTCAAATATACATCGTACAATTCATGTAAAACGCTTGTGAAAAAGAGGTGAGAAAAGAGGTGAGAAAAGAGGTGAGATCTCACCTCTTCACCTAAAATATATTTTTGCTGAGTAAAATGACCAAATTTCATGATATAACTGTATTTTTTTGACGAAGAGAACTTTGACACTTCGTAAAAAAAATCCCTGAAATCATATCTTTTATACAAAATTCAAGAGGTGAGAAAAGAGGTGAAAAAAGAGGTGAGATCTCACCACTTCACCTAAAATATATTTTTGTCTGATTTACGCTCATTGACGAAGAAATTCATGACAAAACATTTACGATGAAGTATATTTCCTGTGTTGTTGTCAAAATGTCATGTTGTCACACTTTTTCAGAGAAGTTCATTTGACCGAGGGACCGAGGGACCGAGGGACCTGGTTCCACCTAAAATATATTTTTGCTGAGTAAAATGACCAAATTTCATGAATTTCCTCATATGTTTGCTACCCGAGGAAAACCGAGGGTAGAGATTCCATTCGAAAATCGTAAAAAAACTCTATGAAAATCGTGAAAAAATGCTACCCCGACTTTTACAGGGGTTGCCTAAAACTCATGAAAATCGTAAAAAAACTCTATGAAATCATATCTTTTATACAAGATAGAAAAAATAAAATTAACGCTAGTTTTTTTAAAATATTTTTTTTTATTTTGTATGTAAGAACAGGAAATGACAAGCACTGAGTTTGAAACAGTTAAAAAGATAGACAATGAGACCAAAATAGTTAGAATAGGTGATTTAAACGTAAGATACTCAAAGAAATACAACAAATATTCTTTGTCAGACATTATATCTCCATCTGGAAAGAAAGCACACGACTGGGTTAGAATTGCTTCTACTCAGAAAATTTTGACAAGAAATCCTGAGCTTATGATATCGGTAAGATTCTATGGAACTACAGCATATCTTATAGACAAAAGTCTTATACCACTAGTTTTGTTCTGGATTGACCCAGTTGTTGGATATAATTTCATAACATATGGTTCATTCGATACTGAACGTTGCAGTGAAGGCTTACTTTACATCGTTCAGAAACCGAAGGACTTCAATACAAAGAGATATAAGATAGGAAGAACATTTAATATAAGTAGTAGATATGACAGTACAGTCAATAGAGTTAAGGTTGTGTTTGTTAACGATATGAGAGCTGCTGAAACAGAACTACTTGAAGTTTTTGAGAAAAGGTATGGTGCTCCCACGAAAGGTAAAGAAACTTTCGAAGTAGATGAGATAGAGAAAGCTATAAAAGTATTTGACGAAGTTGCTGAAAAATACATGTAAAGCGTTTATTTTTGGTCTTTTATACAAGATAGAAAATAACGCTAATTTTATTTTATTTTATTTTTTTATTTTGTATGTAAGAACAGAAATGTCAACATCAGAGAACACAACAACTGCTATCGTTCATGAAGCCATAGATGAAGAATACGAGTACATACAGTTTAACAAACAACTCCGTCTCATTCGTTCGGTCAAAGATGACATGTACCAAATGCAAAGTATTTTGACAGAATGTTTTGCTCCAGATACTAAGAAACCACAAGACTGGTTTGAATTAAATAGCACTCATGAACTCCTCAGTGAGTTTGAACATGTAGAACTTAAAAAGATGTACCAAGACAGACAAAACTTACCATCATATCTAAAAGGTATATATGTTCATAAGTTCCTAGCTAGTTCAATAGCAATGTGGGCTTCACCTCGTTATGCAATCTACATACTTATGCTACTTGACGAACTTTGTACAAAGCAGAGAGAAGATATGATGAAAGAAGACAAAAACATACAGAAAAGAATACCACGTTCGGTACCAAAAGGAAAGGAAAAGAACTATAAGTATATGATTTACACTGAAGAGATGGAAAATGAAGAAGACAGAGATATGGTTATGTTGCATTTAGTCAGAAGAAACAACAAAAGCTTTTACGACCTTGCTAAGATTTACAAATCTGACAGAAATTGGTTCTATCGCGAAAACTTACCGATTTCAATGACACCGAATGAAGATGTTAAACAGATAGTTCAAGATACGTTACCTCAAACACACTATGATATGAAAGGTTGTACAATACTTACATTCAAAGAAGATTTACCGCTACTGAAGGAAAAGATAACAGAGTATTTCGATAACTTCAAAGAGGAAGAGTAAATGAACCATTTATTTTTCAAGCTTGACACCAAAGATGGCTCAGGTAGCTCTAGATGGTAAATTGTCTTGTCCGAGTCCTTCTGGCATTCCGAGTCCTTCCTTCCAACAGGAAAAAAATTTCCTTCCAACAGGAAAAGTTTTTCCTTCCAACAGGAAAAAATTTTCCTTCCAACAGGAAAAAATTTTCCTTCCAACTGGAAAAAATTTTCCTTCCGACAGGAAAAATTTTTCCTGTTGTCCGTCCGTAAACCATTCAAATTTTCGAAAATTGAGAACTTTTTGGCCGACCTTCAGAAAAAGTTTTTCCTTCCGACAGGAAAAGTTTTTCCTTCCGACAGGAAAAATTTTTCTTTCCGACAGGAAGAGTTCTTCCTTCCAACAGGAAAAGTTCTTCCTTCCGACAGGACACAAACGAATGTCCGACGTACCACCAACCGAGTCCATTCCAAAGCCAGAAGAACCGACAGCCCCAGCACCACAACAGACTAAGACTCAAACACTTACATTTTTACGCTTGACTTTTTACAATTTGAACTTTGTTTGCGTAGATGTGAATTCTGAAAGAAGTATGAGGGTCTTGTATGACTTTGTACTTCTCCCATAGTTCATGTCTGTCAAACTTACCTGCCATGGACTCTTTCATAAGTTCCATGAAATCGTCTTCGGACAATCCGGGGAAAAGTATGATATCAGTAAGTATTCTCTTTACATCCTTACTTAAACTCTTTGCTGTCTGTACACAAATGACAACAGAGATGTTAAAGTGTCTGAGCTTCTTAAGAATTCGACACATGTCTTGTTCTCTGTTCTTTAACAAAGGATGAGAAGCAAAGTCATCTAAGATAAGAAGACATCTGTGAGGGTAAGTCTTCCAATCGTAAGATTGCAATTTCTTCGAAATGTATTCTATCTCTTTCTGTTTGTTTCTGAAGTGTTTCTTCTCTAATATTCTCTGCATTTCCTCATTTGGGTCTTTAAACTTAGAATTTATATACTCATTTATAGCATTGTACTTCAAAACTCTTCTTTGGTACTTCTTTATCCAATCTAACAACTCAGAGTCTTTTATACATACTAACTTAGACTTTTTTATAATATCTTTGAACGAATTGACGGTTTGGTCAAATTGACCAGAAGTACTACAAATGACTACTAACTCATAGAATGGGTTCTTCTCATCTAGTTCTTGTTGTTGTGCAGCCATTTTAAGATAAGTGAAAGTCTTACCCGACCCAGGTGGTGCGATTAGACCTGTTATACCATTCTGAGCAAATAGGAACTTGTCATGTATGGGTTTTATCTGAGCATTTTCCAACTTCCTTTGTTCTTATTTAAAACATTCTCAAATTTTTTGTCAATGTTAGCAAACTTTTTTTCTAACACTATTTTAGAAAAATTAAAAATTTTTATCTTTTAGGAAATGTCTGCGATTTCGCTATCTATATTCGAGACAAGCTTTTCGACAGCAAACATCTGTCGACCATAAAATCTTACATAGTGTAAACAAGAAAGGTGAATTTGTTCTAAAGTTGTTTCTGGAATATGACAAGAACCATAAAACATTAAGCAGAGAAGTCTTAAAATTTGTCAATGACAGACTTTTGACAAGAGACGCCTCTTGGAGAGATGAAGTCCAACAAAACTTCTTAGAATGCAAAGAAGACACATGCGCTGTTCTTGAAATGAAATAGAAAACAGAATAGAAGCTATTAAATGACAAAGCACTTTTACAAAAATATGGTTCTGAGAAGTTTGACATAACTCCACCAGAAAAAGAAAGAGGAAAAAAGAAAAGAAAGTAGAAGAAGAGAAGAAAGAACCTGAACCAGTTCCAGAGAAGAAATTTGACATGTAAAAATAAAATTTATTTTTAGAACATTTCTGGGTCAATGTCAATGTTCTCTTCCTCTTTAGGAGCAAACAACCGGCTTAGACTCTAAAATCTTTTTACCCAATTTACCTTGAACTTCAACTATCTTAGACTCATAATATTCATAGTCGTCTGCTTTCTTGGTTCATAAGGTATAACAAGTTTGTATGCTTTGCCTTCTTTAAGGTTTGAGAACCTTCTGTCAAAACTTTCTTTGACTGCTAACAAACCTTCTATGTCTAAGTCTTCAAATTTCGCACCATTTTTAGTCACAATAGCAAACTTAACTGGTTCGATGTTCCAAACTTTGTCAAATGAAGACTTTTCAAAATGGTAGAAGTAAACATTCAAATATGTGAATGGTCTAGTTCTTCTTTAAGTCCTGACATGTACTTGTTTACTGAGATGAATTTCGTCATCTTTTCTATCGGATAAAAAAAATATTTTTTTTAAAATTTACTCAGAAAAATTTTTCTTTGTATATACACCATTCTGTACGTCTAAAAGACTTTTGACATTTGCCAAGAATGTTCGTTTAGACGCTGTCATATAACCATACTCTTGGCAATATTGTTTATACGAATCGTACAATGACCTTTCATCTAAACACTCAAAGTCGGTTTCATCTATGAACAGTTCATATACACTCTTGTTTGCTTCTAACAATGTTTGTCTCTCTTCGGTATGTGGAATTTGTCTTGGATTGAACTTTGAAATATCTAATGTCATGAAATATGAGAACAAGTGGTTGTAAAAGTCAGATGTCAAAGTTTCTGCTAAGTCGTCAAAATATTCTGTATCTTGCATATGAGCTTCTGACGTTCTGACAACTACATATCTTCTGTCAGAACTTTCTAACTTCATCGGAACGGCATTGTTTGAAACCATGACGAAGTTTGCAACATTTTCACAAACTCTTTGGTCTTTATATTTTCTTTCAACAACTCCAACTTTGTCTGTTATAAGACTCTTCAAAGCATCTGAGTTCAAAACTTTTGTTGTATCTATACTTTGAAGTTCGTTACATACTATAAGTTTCATATTCTCTATTGAAGAGTTAAATTTACCGCAGATGTTTTCTAAGTTTGTCATATTCGGGTTCGAATAGCCCTCTAACAGTTTGCATAAGATATCTGTAAAGAAAGTGTTCTTACCTGTTCTTGTTTTCCAATTATAATGAGAGCAGTTTCATTTTTAGCACTTGGATGTTGTAAGATGTTTGCAAACAACATAAGATATACTCATAGACTCTTTCGTTTCCATTGCATATAATTTCTTTGACATGGTCTAACCAAGCTTCTATAACATTTTCTTTCCATTCTACTTGTTCGTATTTATATCCAGTGAAGATAGAATAGAAGTTTGGAGAAGGTGTATAGAACTTTATACACGAACTGAAAAATCTTCTAACTTTGACAATAAGATATCCCAAGCATCTAACATCTTCATACCAACTTGTACGACTTTTATTTTCTTAAGTTTCTGTTTACATTCTTGTTCTGAAACTATTGTCGCTTTAGGTTTGTTAAAGACTACATCCCATTCTTTCATGACATAACATTCTGGGCAGAGTCAACATAAATGACTAAACGTTTCAAATTCTCGACTGCTTTGTTATAGTCTCTAAATGGACACATATTTCTGAACGCTTGGAAGTCATAAAAATCTGAAACATCTATTCTGTACATTTTTATAAAAATAAAAAAAAATATTTTTTTATTCTTGACTTTGTTGTTGCATTTGTTCCATTTGTTGCATTTGTTGTTCTTGAGCTATTTGTTGTTGAAGTTGTTCTTGTAGTACAATACTTTCACCAGTTGCATCTTCCAATTCGAAACTTTCTGCCGTCATTGACAAATACATAGGACATAAAAGTTTTACAGGAACAAAGTTTGCGTCAACTAAGGTTAAGTTTATGTTTGCTAAAGTGTTTGAGTTTACTAAAGCTGAAAATTCTGCATTCGAATGAACAATAGGCAAACCAGCAGAGAAAGTGTTGTTTATACGCATGAGTATCTTTTGGTCATAGTATTTCTGTCGACATTCGAATAGCACTTTGAACCTAAGTTTGAAACAATATATAAAATAGGTGTACTTAAAGTCAATGGAACAGACATTCCTTGTATGACACCTTTTCCTGTTATAGGAAACTGTTGGTAGTAAAAACCAGATATAAGTTTTGTATTATAGCTCATATCGTTTATACTAAACTCAGTCGGACATCCAAACATAATGAAACCTGCTCTAGTTGCAGCACATGTTACATCCGTCCTTAAAGTATTAAATAAGTCAACAAAACCTGTTGGTGGTATATCTGAGTAAGTATCTTCAAAGGAGTATTTTTTACCATTCACAACAATAAAATCTTCTGGTGTCAAAAGAGCAAAACAGGCTTTAGTCGTCATCGTGTTTAAGGTCAGTTTACAATATCGTCCTTGAGGACTTTGTAAGTTTGTTGTTATAGAATTATATGACTCAGGGTTTTTAGTCGTAATAGTATAAACCACTATGTCTTCTGCCATTTACATATATTTA